AATGGGTGAAACGTTTTGAATGGCAATCTTATCGATGAATTTTACACTAAACCAAGCTATCTTGAATCATTATCTTCTCAGATCTAGCTTTATTTACCCGCCGTTTCCTCGTAAAACTGGAAGTGCCAGTTCGTAAATTTGAAATCTCGATCCCGACTCAAATTTGACATCGGAAAGAAAAAAAATGTTTTATTTTTTTCTGAAAATTCAAAACCTTGAGCGGAGGGTTTGTAAAACTAAAAATAAAATAAATCCTGGCATTAAATATATAATTAGATCATTAGCATATTCACAAGATGAAACACACCCTTTAAGTCCGGCTTAATGGTGGCTTATAGGTCCTTAATGGTGGTTTAATGGTTGTCTCTAAGTCACCATTAAGTCACCATTAAGCACCTTTAAGTAACATTTACACCACCATTAAGTTACCATTAAGCCAACTCAAAGTCCTTAATGGGTGCTTAAATGTAGCTTAATGGTAGCTTAATGGTGGCTTACAGGTCCTTAATGGTAACTTTTAACCACCATTAAGTCACCATTAAGCTACCATTAAGCTAGACTTACAGGTGCTTAATGTCCAAACTCCATTAAGCTACCATTAAGCTACCATTAAGCCACCATTAAGTCACATTACGCAGTCCATAATATTGTTTATATGGGTGAAAAATTATTTTTATAGTGATTTGTTATCAATATTATAAATGTAGAGTTCGCTTATATCTTGTTTTGGTAAAAATAATGAAAAAGAACGAAATTCAAAATCCAAAAATAAAAAAAACCGCCACAGTTGGGGCGCGATCCCATGACCTTAGGGTTGCAAGGCGAACGCCTTATCCATTAGGCTATCGCCGCTCATGATAATATGCCGAAAATATTTTAATATTTAACCTTTATTTTTTTCAAAATTTGTTTGGACTTGTAAAGGTATTTACTAGTATTTTGTTGAACATTTCCAAAAGTCTTGAATTGATTTATTAATCAAAATATAAACAATTTTATTTGTGGTTCTTAACACATTAATATATATTTCTACACTGAGTTCGGCTTTAGATTGATGTAATGTGATTGATTTCTTCGCTCTGTTATTCGAAAATTTTCGAAATGTAAGCATTAAATCATGATTGAAAATAAATTAATTATAGATAAAACACAAAAGTCTATGATCGAAAAAGAAAGAGGAAAAACAGATTCTACTATTATTTTTAATATACTGCGGATATTAACGGTTTCTCTGTCAACAATTTAGTGACAATCCTCGCGTAAGAGTTACCTGGTTAATTACGTTTACAAAAACTTTTTTTAGAATATCATATTCAGTTTCAATTCTTTTTGTATCATAATGGGTATCAAAATAATTGACTTTTTACGATGAATCATAATTTATAATTTGTTATATGCTTGCGTTAAATTTAATTTTTTAAAAAATAATTGATCATTAAAATCTGTCAGTGTACGTTGTGTAAATATAGTTTCCTGTTTGTTAACCGGGGGGGGGGGGGACACCTAATTAAGGTCTATTGTCTGACCAGTCGGTTTACTGTACACTGATCGTCTGTTAATCTTACCCCGTTTATCAATGTGTATACATCTGGTCGGATGTCATGTTTAGTCTGATCGGCCATTCCTCTGAAAATCGATTTTGAAATAACAATCATTGAAGACCGACTAGATCTTACCGCTGCATTATTAAAAAAAAAATAACGATTTAATTAGAATTATTTATGATGTAAAAGCCATTAAAAAGTTTTTCATGGTAAAAGTCAATCTTTGAAAACTAAACATGTGTATACCAGTAGCCCCCCCCCCTCAAAAAGGACAGAGATTTTTTTTCATGAGATTATATAGTTATATTCCTGTGAATTCTGTAGCGGAATGTTAACACATGAAATAAAAATACCATTTTGTTTTTAAAAAGTAATATATATTTTGTGTTCATGAATATAGATAATTTTAAGAACAAATAATTTTTGGTATTGTAAATTTAAGATATTTCACAAGGGCTTGCTCACGGTGTGTAATAATTATTTTATTTTTAAAAATCATATACACTAAAAATAAAAACAACGCATGTAATAATAATTTATTTTAAAAAAAATAATATACGGTTCTGATACAGGATGTCTTCAGGGGTCGACACTAACTTTTAAACCATAGTTGTCAGCAGGGCTAGCCATTTCTAATTTCTACTAGCCCTGTTCATGAATTAGTTGTCCAGCAGCCGAAGCGACGAGGGGGTAGGTGCGGGAGGGGGTTTCCCCCTCCTGCTGGTGGGGGTACAGGGGGCCTCCCCCGGGAAATTTTGAAAATAGAGATGCCAAATCCTGCATTCTAGCTGTATTTTGGGTAAAAATTATATGTCAGTCTATGATTGTACCTTTAAGTTAGACATTTTTCTATTCGAAGAAGTACACATATATAATCATTTAGGGTATTTCGAATCACCTTTAAATTTTAAAATTTTGACACACAAAAATAATAATTATGATGATAAGACATTTTTGAAAATTGATTTAATAATTATTAGATACATTGTGTGTAATTGATAATTATATTTGTTGCTCTGAGTGAGTACTTAGTAAAATTCTTAGTAGCGCTTAATGATCAATGTGTATACATCTGGTCGGATGTCATGTTTAGTCTGATCGGCCATTCCTCTGAAAATCGATTTTGAAATAACAATCATTGAAGACCGACTAGATCTTACCGCTGCATTATTAAAAAAAAATAACAATGGTCTACCAAAATTGTGAATTTTATGGCCCCAGGGTCAGGGGTTCTTGTTTTAGGGTGGGGCTCTAATGATTATATAGTGAAATGCATGAATTAATTGAACATCTTATCCTTTGCCCCTGGTTAATCACAAGTTTAAAGGCATCTTTGGTAGCCCGACCTCAATATTCAGTTGTCCTGGGCCAGCGGGCTACCGTTAGTGTCGAACCCTGGTCTTGTTTTATTATCACTGTAAATGATTTTAAGTAAAAATTAGACACCTCGAGCAAGCCCCTGTGGCTATTAGCTAACTTTGTTCCCAGTGATCAAGTTTATGCATGTTGACAAAAAAACTCGTAGAAATTATGATCGAGACAGAATTATGAGTTGGAATAGATTTTGCGTAAATGATATTAAAATAACAAAAAGTTCAAAGATTCTATATAAGATGCGTAAAAGTTTAATGAGGGTTGACCATTAAGTCACCATTAAGCTCAGCTTAATGGTGGCTTAATGGTAGCTTAATGAAGTTTGGACATTAAGCACCTGTAAGTTGCAGCTTAATGGTGGCTTAATGGTGGCTTAAAGGAATTAACTTCTTTGAGCCACCATTAAGTCACCATTAAGCTACCATTAAGCGATTGCTGAAAGGTTGTCTTTCGTCTTGTGATTAACCAGGGGCAAAGGATAAGATGTTCAATTAATTCATGCATTTCACTATATAATCATTAGAGCCCCACCCTAAAACAAGAACCCCTGACCCTGGGGCCATAAAATTCACAATTTTGGTAGAGGCACTCTAGCTTATCATAACTATGTACTTAGTTAGTTTATTTAATACCCAGGAGAAGAGAAGAAGATTTTCAAAGAATTAATGTATTTTCACTATATATTATATAATCAATAGAGCCCCGCCCTAACACCAGAACCCCTGACCCTGGGGCCATAAAATTCACAATTTTGGTAGAGGCACTCTTGCTCATCATAACTATGTACTTAGTTGGTTTATTTAATACCCAGGAGTAGAGAGGGTACTCCTAAAGAAATAATGCATTTTCACTACCTACTTATTTAGCCCCGTCCTAGCACTAGAACCACTGACCCCAGGGCCATGAATTTCATAATTTTGGTAGAGGACTCATTGCTGATTACAATCATGCAAACAGTTTGACTGCTTGTTGTCCAGGAGTAAAGAAGAAGATTTTTAAAGATTGCATTAATTTTAGTGGTTTTGGCCCCACCCCTCAGGCCCCAGGGGGGCAGGGATCATGAAATTCACAATTTTTGTTCCCCTTATTAAATCTGAAATTAAAATCATTGATGAAGCATTTACACTCACAGTATATAATTATCAGCTGTATTTGGCATTTTGTTTGTTTACGAAATCATTCATGATACTACCATATTTGACTGAAAAAACCCTTTGAACTCTTGTTTGAAAGGTGATGTGCCACTGACTTTTACCTAATCACTGTAACTGTATTTCATAAATCAAATTTGTCTTTTACATACCTGCACATTGGCTACAGCTACATCCACGGTCATGTAATTAGGGTTAGAGATGTAGTCCAGAGAGATGTTCTGTAGTGAGATATAGACCAGCTCCTCAGGTCTGTAATTCACCAGAGATAAACCCAATCCACCCTTCAGACTCAAACAAATCTACAACACATAAGATCAATCAATATTTTAAGTCAACTACAATTTTATATCACACCTTTTGCAGGATACCCATTTTAAAATAGAACTGTTCAAAATTCAAAATTTGATATCAATAAATATTTATTTAATATAATGATAATCATGAATCTATATATTTCAACAAATTGACATCATTCAGTATTCATAACTAACCTCTAAGCTTGATTTCTTCTCTACTGATTTATCTTCTATCTTAGCCACCTTATCTTCTTCACAAACAACCCAGTCTTGGTAGTTCTTTGTTACTTCAGCAACAGACTACACAAATCAAGGATAGAGTTGTTAAAATGCTCAACATTTTACATTTATCAACTTCAGAAAAGTTGAAACTTTCCACAAAACATTCAATTATTAAATGCCATTTCGTTTGGGGACAACAAACTTACTCCTTGAGAGACATCGGTGATTTGCAGCACTCTGATTGGTCCATCCATGACGGTCCTGACAGCGAGACAGCCTGACCCTGGGAGGAGCCTCTGTCTGTCAATCTTCATGTGGGCGGGGACACTCCTCCCTGAGGGGGGACCAGGCCCCACCACAGCTACAGCGGAGTCCCTCAGACACTCCCCCCCTCCCAGGGTCTGTACACACATCGCACCATCAACACAGCACAATCGACCATCCTGAAAAAACGGCCAAAGGATTTAATTTTGGCTTTATTAGCAAGCTTAAGGGTTCTGAGATGACTGAGATCAAATATCGCTAATAAACATTAAATTGCCTCATATTTATAGAAGCTTCTAAGTAATCATTTTAAAATCACTAAAATTAAATTTAGATAAAAGCAGAATAACAATTTGTAAGGACAAATAGCTAAATTTGCATCCCGTGAAAATTTCCACTTATTTCATACTCTCTCCTCCATTATCTTTTTTTTAAAACATTAATTTCAGTAAAACCTCTTCTATTATGATTTGTGATAGAGTTTAAAGATTTAATAAAATATCATTGCATGATTACAGTTATAAAATGTTTATTTAACCAACATAAAATCTACCTCTGTGAACTTCCAGGTCTGTGTGGCTTTCCTGCGCTCGTCTCGTTTTCTGAGGGTGAGGGGGACAATCCTCCCTGGTCTGGGGGCGATGTCATCTATGTCCAGTACCATACTCTTCCCTGAGGGGTAGGAGGACCGATTGTGGGGGTCACGGGGAGATATCGACCCCTCGTGTTCTAACATGCCCCCGCTGGTCATTCTCCATAACTGGTTACGATTACCAATCTCCTGTTAAACAAAAAAATACATCTCCTGAACAGACATATTGTCAAAATTAAGTTGGATGCATAGTTATGTAATGGATGCAGTAACCCAGAGGGATTAAAACTTTTAGCTGAAAATCAAAAATAAAGTTAATCAACAGTCAATCATTTCTCCCATTTCTTTCCTTAGTCATATTCATGCCATAAATCTTTAAATTAAATGAAGATCAAATCATTTTACTTCAAAAGCTTTTTTATGATAACTATTTTACCTTTTTACAAAATTTGATGTACTGATCTTGAACAACTTCTAAAACCAATTCTGTGTGAGGACTATCCTGTGCTGGCCTTCTTAAAATAGAAATAATTTATATTTTCCAAATTAAAGATTTCTGTAATTAATTATAAATGAAAAATTGCATGTTGATAACACCTACAAGTGAAACTATATCAAAATCAACATTTTATTACAGAAAATTGATTTCAAATTCTAACCAAAAAATTGATCGAGCTTATTAAATAAAATCCACCTTGCAAATGTAGCTGATGCTCTGAGGTAAATAAAGTTGGGATAACAGAGTTGCTTCCCTTCCTCCAGTTTGTCCATATTGTAGGTGGCACTAGTTCCTCCCTTTACTCTCAGTGTTATTGAGTGACTCAACATTGGTTCATCCCAGGCATAAGGTACTATCAAGAATTTAATAGCAAAATTTAGTTTTAAAGAAATATCCTTAATATTGACACTGACAATATACTACATGTGTATAAACAAACTTTTATTCGTGTGTGAGAAATATTTGTGAGTTTCAAGACCTACTTTAAGTCGCGAATATCAATTGCCAATAACCATTTATTTTGCTTGGTTTTTGTAGAAAATATTTCCTTATTTGTAAGAATTTATCACCGCAGATTGATTTCAAACTAAAGAATCATGAATTAAAGATGATGTGAATAATAGTTGGTTTACAGAAATTGTATCTTTTAATTAGTGGATAGAAAAGCAACTGACATATATATTAGTTTAAAACTTACATTGTACACGAGGTTGAACAAAAGCTTTCAGCTTCTGTTCTGTTGTGTCACTTTGGAAATATTCCACTGGAATCTGAAATAATGAATTGAATGAAAATTTTAATAAAGTCCTATACTTCAAATAAAGTCCTTCAATTCAAACAAAATCCTACACTTCAACAACTTCAAGACAATTAAATTACTACATAGAATTTCTTTATGATATAATGTAAAGTCCACCAACTTCAGCCCAGTTGTCGATTCTGATAGGAGGGGGGACTTCCCCTGCGTCCCCAAACACGATGAAGTAGGTGGGTCCCTCCATCACAATCTCCACCTTCAGCAGATGACTCACGTTCTGATCATCCCTAAAAATACATACAATCTAATGAATGCTAAATGTATAACATATATTATTGGTTAAAACTCTCTTAAAGGTGCATTTTAAATTTCTTTTATTACCGCTGTGTCTGAAATTATCATACATGTATGTATAAATTAAACTTTTTCCAAAAGATTTTCCATAAAGCCCTGTATACATGTAATACGTGATATGTTTCAAAATAGAAAGATAAACACTTAGTTCATCCCTAATGTGCAATATTTTGATATCCAAAATTTGCTTATCATAAGAAATCATAATCAATTAATCATTATTAAAAATTTTCGCAAGCATATATCTATAAAACATACGTACATGATACTAATACTGTATAGGGGATTAATTTCACGGGTTGTAATTTTCGCGTTTTTCTCTCATCTGACACAATCGCGGTTTGTTGAATTCGCGGAATTGGTATATAATAAAAGTTACATCCCTTGTCTATAATATAGCTTCATGTTAACGACATTCATCAGCATCATGTCCTTATTTCAACAGGGGTAGGTTAATATAAAATTGTTAGATTTAATAAATAATTAATTAAACAAGGGCAGTTATTAAAAGTCCTTCATTCTTAACGTCAAATGACTTTCCTATGTGCTATTATGATGAGTGCCTGTGCATCCAAGATCTTCAAGACAACGCGGCGAAAAACCACTGGACGGAAATAAATGTGTTTATGTAGTTCGACGAAATAACATCCTTCCACATCTTTAGTAAGTTTGATGTTTATTTGAATAATTTCTTAAAACCAAAATCTCAATAAAATCAAATATGCATGATTATGCAGGTAACAAATACACGTGGTAACATTAGTTACGCACTGGTAATCAAAACCCATGGCCCACGTGTTTTGATTGATGATACATGTAGAGTTGGCTATTAAAACAGCTTTGGAACAAACACAAGTTATTATCTGCCGATTTGAATTAAAGTAAAGCGTGATAATTATAATAATTGAATGAGAAGTACTACTCGTAATTAATGAAATGACCATGTATTGACGGTACATGTGTATAAACCTATCGTAGTCTATTCTTAAATTTCCAACATGAAAATTATTGAAAATTTATTCACTGTTTCTTGAATTCACGGATTTATTAACACCGTGAATATAGCGAATATTAACACCGCGAGTTATTTTCCCCCTATACAGTAATGTTCTTGCTGATCAAAAGTGATCTACAATATGATGTGCAAATTCATGTGTAGTCAATGAAAAAATTGACATAATAAGACCAATTCATACCTTATATTAATGTGGAAAGAATCTGTTTTGTCGATTCTAAATCCACCTGACCAGGAGGAAGATCCAACATCCAATAGATTTACACATAACAACTGATCAAGGTCAAGTCTTGGCCAATGAAATGGAAGCTTACATTGTGGAAGGGCAATCAAACAGGAGTCTAACTTCATTGTCTGCAAGAGATCAAGTTTACAAAATGTGCACAAAAATTAAACTGCCATGACAATTCCTAAAATGAATTTATATCCTGAGAAAAAATTAATTGAATAAATTATGTTTTCCCCTTTCCATGTTTCCGTGTACATGATATTCTCTGTAATCACAATCAAATAATTCCAACATGTACTTACTTCAGTTTGGACAAGATGTCTCTGAGCGATTGCTAATCTGTGACTTGATTGGTTGTCAATTTCATACAAGGGGGCAAAGGTAACAATGTTTGTGTCAGCGTAGAGTCCCTTCCCTTGGTGAACCCCTATACCAATGTTGTACACCCTAAAAATAAATACATGATTCAAATACAAGCCTACAGAGATTTTCATATCTAATTTAACTAAAAATTAATTTTAAAAAAAATTTATTGAAAGTCAAAAATTCTTTTTTATTCATAATATTATCAGTTTATCAAGGCTCTTAAAATATTTCTTTTACAGGTAATTATGTAAGTTATATACTGTATCATTAAAAAAAATATTAGCTGCACATAACAGGAAGATTACATGGACTGCTTAAAAATAAATATCTTATAGTGTGTGGAGTATAATTCATAAATTTAACTAAATTTATATAGATACATGACTATAGATTTATTATGATAATACAGTAAAACACAGTTGTAGCGAAGTCCTGGGGACCTGTGAATTCAATTCGCTATATCCGTAATTCATTATATCCGTATAACAAATTTGTATAACCATTATAGCAAATTTGCAATATGCATGATTTCCTTCAGGTCTTACTACCAAATATGTTAGAGAAGCAAATATTAAGAAACATATCTTTGATAACAATGGTTTTATTATGAATGGTATTTTATATACAAATGCTAATTGGAAATAAAGTTAGTGAAATTATCAAAAATTTTATAATCTTTAAAAGTTTGTTATAAAAGATGTAAATTTAATTATATTTAACCCAACGGGACTCAAAATCAGTTCGCTATATCCGTAAATTCGTTATATCAGAATTCGTTATAACTGTATAATTTTACAAAGATTTGTTAAGAATTTTGCCGGTGACCCAGAAAATCTTTGCTATATCCGTGAATTCGCTATATCCATGTTCGTACTAAACGAGTTTCACTGTACCTTTTTGATAAGGTAAATATAGTATAAGCATTCCAAAAGTATAAATAAAACATTCAAAATTAATCCAAAATTTAAATAAATACTGTAGAAGTACTTTTTTCCGCGTGGTATTAATTTACGCTATGTACGCGCTTACATTTTTTCCGCGGAAATTTGTCCAAGCGTACTTAATATAAATGTAAGGCACATATAGTGACAATCTAGAAAATCCGCGTAATTTTATACCCGCGGATTACACAGAAATTGAGATTCCGCGGAATAATGACCCCGTGGAAAAAAGTACGTCTACAGTAAGCACTTAGAAAACAGTACACCAAAATGACAAGACCCTATATATTTAAGCCCTCAGGTCCTTATTGCCAATCCAGAGCCAGGAGATGAAATAAAACAGAGTGTGGGTTTGGTATCGGACACTATCAGTACACCCTGGGGCCTCCTCATACAGTCATGCTCCTCCCTCCACCTGAGACAGAACTGCTCCCCTCCCAGCCTCTGTTGGACTTAACTGTGTTTTAGGGATACAAATGGCCAAGGACAGCTTGGCTTGACTTTGTAGTTGTACTAACCAGTCTGGGCGGTTGCCAGTCTTGGGAACCACATTCAGTCTCCTCATGCCAGTACCACTCTCCAAGGAGAACCGCTTACACCTGGGTCAGATAAAAGGAAATGAGTATGCTTTCAAGTTCACAAGAGCTGTCCACAATTAGAATTTCAATCATGAAAATTTTTTTTTCCTCTCTCCTCCTTTCCAATGCAAAAAAATATTACCAATTAGGTCCTAACAGCTTTTGTTGAGAAAAATTATTTTCCATTATATATGTTTAAATGTCCTCTTACTCCTTTGAAAAATTTTGACTCATTCTCTGAACATGTCATAGCGGACAAACAATAGTTCCATTGGTCATGATTTAAGTGAACTTGAATCTACACAACATAAGGGATGCTTTTGACTCCGATGAGCTATAAATGATCATCAAAAGTAAAATATTACCACACAGGGACACTGTCTGGGCCCTGGACTGACTTTCCTACTCTCATTGTACATCTGTCAAAGGAAAACAAACATAGGTTAAAGGTGAAGTTGAATATATATTCTTAGAGGCATCGTCCTATCAAATTTAGCATACCAGTCTATATTTACAATAACTTAATTGAGAATGAGATGTTTAATTGAGCAAACAAACCAACCATAGCTGAAATCATTTCCATAATACTACACTCAAAAAAGTATTTGAAATTTTTTTTTATTTAATGTCACAAAGCTAAGAAATTTATTACATATTTTTAAATGATGTTCAAAGAACTGAATCATGGTTTTTTCAGCTTAAGTCTTTTGAAAGAAGCTATTAGATAATGACAATGTGCTCACAGGTTGGGCAGGTCCTTCTCGGCGTTACAGAAGAGTAGCGGGGTGACAGAGCGGGCTAGTTCATGTTCTTCGTACTGTCCCGAGGCGACCTCCTGGGAGAAGTCCGGTCTGAACTGTCTGAACACCAGGGGGAGCCCCGACTTGTTGACCAACCAGTAAGGGGCCGTCACATGGATCTAGAAAAAATATAATCATATGGTTAGTTTTTTTTTTATGTTAAAGAATTAATGAGAAGGCATAGTGACACATACATGTACATTATCCCTGAATTACATTGCACATGACTGTAATATTGTAAGTTTATTATTTCTAACACAAACATGTCTGACTTAATAACCTTTTACTAGAACTCTATTTATCTCTCAAGAAGAAAAATAGTAAAGTACAAGAAAATTTTGAACAATTTACAAATATATTGTACTCAATCTAAATAAAGAAATCAATGTTTTCAGCATCATATTAAGAATTCACTAGAACCTACCGAGACTGATCCTCCCTTCCTGAAGATGATTTTGATGAGTAACTCCAGCAGTCGTTTCTTGGTGTCGTACAGACGAATCTTAACCTTGTGGTACTGGGGGCCGGTGGTGACGGGGGGAACCACCAACTCTTTACAGGTTGGGAAGTTCTCCAGATTCAGTCCCAGCTCCATCGCCTGCTGGGGGTCTGCCTGTAACAGATAGTGTGGGTGAACAAACTTAAATTTAGGATACCTGACCATGTTTTGATACAACTTTTATCTTCTTGGCCAAGTGAATAATGTTGACATTTTTAAAAGATGGCATTAGATTTTCATAAAGTTGTAATTATCTCCACTTGGAAAAAGGTGTACTGTGGCCTTTTCCTTGAACAAACTTACTAGTACATGGATTGCATGACATCAAACAAGATCTTTTAATGAAGGTCTCCAGCCTGCTTGTACTTACAGCATTTAAGTAGGCAATTTTTATATGAAAGCCTCAATCCTGCTTGTACTTACAGCATGTAGGTAGGCCTTCTCTCCTGTCTTCACTGTTCCACAGATCTGTGTGTCTTTGATGTAGTACCTCAGCTCTATGGGCAGCAGGTTACGAATGATCACAGCTGGACGGATGGATACAGTGTGTCCTGGTAGAATCAAACTCGAGTCCTCTGTCATTAACTTCTCAGTTTAGTTCTCCCGCTTGACCGACACACAGAATCTAAAATATACAAACACATACAATCAAGTTCTACCAGAAGAAAAGTAAGTTTCAATCTAAACAACTTATTTTCTTTTTCAAAATTAAGAATAACACCCATCCCCAAATATACTCTTTTTCCCATTTTTGGCAATAATTCATATTAAGTTAATTGTTTATCAGACAATTACTTTCATATATATATATATATATACCGTACAAAACTGGTGATAATTTATGCAATTCAATTTCTTTTTACCAAAGCTTGCAGAGAAATAAATTGGAAATTGGATCTATATTCATTTAATGAAAAAATAATATACCGTGGTATAAATTCAATACTTAATTTTTTTAATATCCATTGTAGATAAAACAAATAAATGGTCTTTTAAATTTGCTGCTGCATACAACAAGGAAATAAAGGTTTATGTGAGAAGTGTTACCTATAAACTCCATTCCCTTCAGAAGAGATACATTTCATTATTCTCTCCTTGACTTCCCCTGCCAGACCAACATGCTGCCATTGGATTGGTTGATTGCAATACTTGACCGGCCAATCAGATGGCCTGACATAGAGCATGGAAGACACATATGGCAGTGGAAGTGGTAAGGTTCCATTGGCTGGGATTTCCATGATATTAAATTTACCTGTACATGTATAAAGAAAGATACACATTAAACAAAAATATAATTCAGATCTGTTTACATCATAGGCATTGCAATCAGGAGGGGGATAGCAAAGATTTTTTTTAAAAATTAAAAAGGATATTGAACTTCTGGGCGTAGGTTTACCCCCCTCCCCTTCCCTGCGCAAATACATGCAAGAACCAAATAAATTAAGATGGAGATATTTTGGAGAACAGAAAACACACTGTTATTTACGGTCATAGGTACACAACATAGTTTTAATTTTATCGGGCTCTTCCCTGAAGTTTAAGAATTCCACTAAATGATGGACCTGTGTGCAATACTTTTGTCTCTATATGGATTTGTACACCTCTTCTAAAACAAATTTTGATTGAAAAAAAATCTGGAAATAAGGCCGGAATTAAAAATATCTTTGTTTCCCCTAACCCGACCCTAAATTCTCAAGTTGGGTCGGTAGGTAGGTAAACAATTTTATTTTCTGACAGCATCTTTGAAAATACATTCTAAAATTTAATGGAAAATTACATATTTATAAATAAGAAAAGTACAAAAGAAAGTGATTTGTGAACAAAATGCTAAGTATCATACATATGCCGTTTAAAAGCAAAATTCATGATTAATCAATTCTCAACTGTAATTTAGATGAACTTGTGAAATATCTCACCAGAGTGCATTTATATAAATCGAATAAAAAAAGACATAATTCTCAAATACGCACGCAAAAACTGGACATCTTAGTATATTTTTTCAAACCTTCAATCACCCTCCAGTGCTTATAGACAGTCATTGTACTTTTTGAGGGTCATGAGATTTGCAGTGGTTCTAAAGCATTTTGCTTTTGAGTTAAGACATAAATGGCTAATTTTAAGTCGCATGTTTAAATACGTTGGAAACTGTCCTTCAAAAGGGACCATTAAAACTTTTGTCCAGTGTCGCAGAAGATGCTGGCCCAAAAAAAGATCCCACTGCTTAATGGCAAAAAAAGTGCGTAGTACATCTAAAGGAGCAATGGGGAAATGTTCAAATGGTGTCCCAACAAATTTCAAAGGGATTAAAAGCAAAGAAACAACGTCTTCAAGGGACTAATTAATGAAAAATTCACTGGACGTCTGAGGAAGCTTTATCATGATTTCAAAACTATTTGGAAAGAGTATTTAAAAATGCTATATAAAACAATGTCATAGTCACCAAGTTTAACCACTAAATAAAGGCATGAAAATGTACAACTGAATTATATTTATCAGGATGAATATGCAAAAATATTTATCAACTCCTATGATTTCATAATGGCATAAAGTTAACATAGGAACATAGATGAATTGTTTATCAGATCAAGACTCAAATTAAATAAAATGCAGTGAAATTGAATGATGTGTTCACTAGGTGGGCCCCTCATCTGCTCATGAGGCTGGCCTTTCCATGTATTACGTACCTGAAATTCAACAGACAGATTCGTTTGTTCGTTGTTTACCGTCCCTTTCGACTCACATGGAGACACCAAGACACCCCCAAAACTCTTAATTAGTCATTGTAAATTTTATTATCAAATTGTTTCAAGAGTGAAGAATTCTAGTTAGCAAAAGGCATAAGATTGAGACATCGCCGTTGTTTTATGAAGAACTTCTCTGTTATCACATCTGGGCGCTATTTTGTCTCCATCAAATGCTTGAAAATCACAGGAGAACAATGTCGGTCGTTCTGATAAAAACTGATTTTGATGAAATTGTATTTTATAAGACTTGGTTGACAATAAAAAAAAATTTGAATCATCTTATTTAAAAAAATCTTTTCAGTCGGCGCGTTTTAGTTGGGTCGGTCGCGTTAGGGGAAACAAAGGTATTTTTTATTTTGGCCTAAATTTATGTTTCGTAATTTCTATATATTTTTCTTTAAATAATGAAAAAAAATTCAAAATTTGATAATTTCCCAAAATCCCTGGTAATGCATGCTGATTTTTGTTTCTATGGACCTCTGGTGGCGCTATAATCTTAAATTTAGAAAATACTGTATCTTGAAAAATTATCTGTATAGGTAAGGTACCTTGCGTATGTCCTTAATAAAAGCTTAACACACATAAAAAATAATTTCACTTAACCAAATTTGAAATTCAGAATTTGTTAAAATTATGAACAAAACTAAGTACAATCGGC